AATTGCACAGCTTAATTGTTAATTGCTTTCGTTTTGTAGAAGTTGGCTTTATTTATATTATTTCTCTACTATCCATCAACTTGCCGAATAAATATAGTAACAAGTTATTTATATGATTAATTCTTCTGATTTTTTTTACTTTGGTTAATATCAGCTTTAACTCTTTTTCTTTTTCATTCTGTCGACGAATAAAAAAAGAGACTATGAACAACACGAGATGACGGAACATGAAATCAACGAGGATTTCATGATTCACCATATTGTTGAGAATTAGTCCAACATCATTTATCTATCGTATGGACACGATAAATTTTCAACCGACGTCATCAATTTTTTTTATCTAGTAACATACCCATGGAAAGAGTGATGAGATTTCACACTATCATCTCGTGCACTTTTAGGAGTATTGTAAAATATTAAATATGAGGGTATGCACGAAGAAACAATTAAGATGAGGCTTTTCCCTCAGACTCTTAAGTGATAAAGCTCAGAAGTGTCTTGACTCGTAATTGTCGAGCAGCATCACTAAAAGGCAGTTGACAAATTTACTTTCCTCGTGTCAAAGTGGCCGTGCTCAAACATGACATCTCATCCTTTCATCAATATAATTCAAAGAACTATCACGAGGCATAAGAAAGGTTCAAAGAGTTGTTTAGAAAGTACTCGAATCATGGAATCGACAAGGGACTATAAAGAATTATGGAATCAATAAGGGATTACAAATTCACTATTTCTACTTCATATTGATTATCTCTAGTCAATCTAAAGTTGATTTTGATCACCAATGGCTCTATACAAAAATAAGTCTATATGGGAGACTTATTATAAGTTCGAAACAATAACTGAGCAAAGAGTGAAGAAGTTGGAAAGGGAATTGCAGAATAAGAAAGATGGATGAATGACATGGATATTAATACACGTGTTGATGCCATATGACATAAATAATTGATTACGATGGCAACCAAAGTGAAGGTAATTAGCCAGATGACTTATTCTATAGTAAAGTGATTATCACTATGCTACCTTGAATATCACTATAATAGAGCGACTACTACAATATTACACTGACTGCTATTATGGTAAACCGACTCGTTATGCACAGCCCCTCTATCAAAAGGTTTCAAATAGTTAATGACAGAGGCATATAATGGAGTCATCGATTCGCTCGATCACCCGCGAACTTTCGTTGATTTGATGAGATAGTATGCGGCATGGATATTTATAATATGTAGAGTTATGATTTATTTGGAATTGTAAAAAGGTTGAAAATCGTGAGCCAGATTTTACTTGGATGGCACGACCACTCGAGCGCCCAGTGGGCAGTCACTTGTTGTTAAAACCACTCGAGTGGTCTTTCGATGGCCAGCAAGCGATTTTGCCTCAACTTGATCCGCTTAAGTTGACTCTGACTTCTTTCAAAGTTACTCCAAACCTTCGGCTACTTCCCTCATTACAGCTCGATAAAACGACATTTTGGACATGAAAATTGCCAATACATTTTGGACCTAGCAAAATCGATATAGAATGATTTATCATCTATAACAAAGTAGAGAAAAGAGGAAAAGAAAGGATGAAAGAACACAAGAAAATTAGGAAACAAAAAATAAAGCATAAAATAAGGGAACAAAAGCTAAAGATACTAATCAATTTGAATCTCAGTGAAGTCATTCAATATTCAAATTTTTAAACAGAATAGTCCAAAAAGAGAAGCTATGGTAAAAAACTCCACTAAAAAAAGACAGATTACATTAAAACTCCATAAAGGTTAACGACACCTATAAATATAAGTAGATTAATCATCAACTAAGGAGGAAAAAAACAAATATAGCCTACACGAAAATAAAAATAAAAAATCACAAATGGAATTCATGAAAAGGCATATTGAACTGCAAGACAGCACCAGAAAAGATCTCTCATTTGAATTAAAAAAAACCATGAAATTCCTAACTCTAACTTCTGTGTCTAAGAAGATCACAACATCAACAACAAATAAACATACAAAACAAGATTAGATTCTGACAAAGAAATTAAGGAAATTCGAACAAAACCAATTATCAACTTGTTAAAAACATAACTAAAAAAGAAAAAAGAAAGAAAAAGAAACAAATGGCAGAAAAAATGAAAATACACACGCATAAATTAATTCCAAAAAATCAATTTGAAGCTAAGAAAAAACATATTTTTGTTAAAAGAACTGTACCAAAAAAAAAAAAAAAGATTAAACATAACAAAATAAAATTCACAAAAACAGAGAAATCAAGAATACATGTTATCGAAGAAAAAGAGATCACACTGAAGAACAAACCTTAGAAGAAGAAAACAAACGCGTGACCTAGATACAGCACGCTCGAAACTCATCAAGTAATATGAGAGAAGGAACACAAAAAAAAAAAACCTTAATAAAGACTCCCAAAACCGTCGAATCGAGTGAAGGAAAGTGAAATTGCACATATTCAAAAGGCTTACGCAAGATCTCCTTTTCCTTCAATAGAGGTAATAAACGGGATTCCAAAATAGAAACTTACATACTAGAAAACAAATTCTCTAATCAAAGATTAGGTTTCAAAGAACATCAAATTCCTTGCTCGAACATTAAGGGCATGTTCTCTTTACCATTTTCAAGTCGTTTTCTGCCTTTGATTTTTCAAAACAGTGTTTTCTTTCCTATTTTCGAAAACGCGTTTTTGAAAACAAGTTAAAAACTTTTAAAAAAAAGCAAAAATTTTCAAAACGCGTTTTGAGTGTTTTCAAAACAATTTTTCTAAATGCCAAAAAGAACACATTTTCAAAACTACAACTGATACTACTCGATCTGATTCATCACCTGCTGCAGGATCCTCTGACAGTGAAATGGGAATTGAAGGTGGAGCAGTCATAGAAAATGATGCCGATGAGATAAACCAAGAAGAATCAACTGAAAGTGAGGTAGAAGTCCAACAACATGATACTGAAAATGCAGCGGCAATGTAGACATACAAGGAGAAAATGTGATTCAAAACACAAAACACCAGATGATTACCAGGAGCAAAGCTGGAATTTACACAATCCATACTGGATGAATTAGAAGTAACCGAACCACTAAATGCTGATGAAGCACTGCTAAATGATCACTGGAAAAAGACTATGCAAGAAGAGTATAAAACACTAATGAGAAATGAAACTTGGACATTAGTGCCTTATAAAGCAGGAATGAAGGTAATTGGAAATAAATGGATATTCAAGTTGAAGTATGATTTAGAAGGAAGTGTGCAAAGACACAAAGCAAGATTAGTGGCTAAGAGTTTCCTTCAAACTCTTGGAGTAGACTTTAGTGAAACATTCAGTCATGTTGTTAAGGCATCGACCTTGAAAATTATTCTAACACTTGTAGTTTCTAAGGACTAGGAAATTAGACAAGTAGATGTAAATAATGCTTTTCTGAATGGAAGGTTGAATGAGGTAGTATACATGAATTAGCCACAAGGATTTGTAGGTGAGAAAAATCCTAGATTTGTATGCGAATTGAGAAAGGCTCTATATGGATTAAGGCAGGCCCCAAGGACATGGCATGATAGGCTGAAGAGTAGCTTGTCAGAATAGAAGTTCAGACAATCCAAAGTAGATAATTCTCTGTTCTTCTTAGCGAATGAAAGAGATGTGCTATTTACACTAATATACGTGGATGATATAGTGATTACTGGTAATAAAAATCAACAGCTGCAAGAGTTCATTGATAAACTAAACACCAGCTTAGTACTTCAGGATATGGAAAGTCTAAGTCAGTTTCTAGGAATTGAGATACGTAGAGATGCAACTGGATTGTACTTAACTCAAAGAAAGTATACTATGGACCTACTCAGAAAGTTTGGCTACGATAACTTGAAACCAAGTCTAACACCTATGGCAGTAGGCAAACTAATTTCGAAGACTGATGAAGAAGCTATGAGGAACCCAACATTATACAGAAATGCAATCCGTGGCCTTCAATATCTTACTCATACAAGGCTAGATATCACCTACGCTGTGAATAGGCGTAGCCAATTCCTTCAAACGCCCACGGATGATAATTGGAAAGCACTCAAAAGGGTGTTTAGATACCTAAAGGGAACACTAAGTCATGGCATCGCTATTCGAAAAAGTGATAGTCTTGTTGATTCTGACTGGGCCTCATGTCCACATGACAGGAGGTCAACTGCAGGCTATTGTGTAAACATTTGAGACAGTTTGGTATCATGGTGCTCTAAGAAACAGCATGTCGTTGCCAAGTCAAGCACAGAGGCTGAGACAGAGCATTAGCTCAAGGTCCATCAGAAATTACATGGATTCAATCGCTGATGAGTGAGTTGGAAATACCATAAAGATCAGTTCCAAGTATTTGGTGTGATCATCTGAGTGCAAGTGCATTAGCCTCGAATCCTGTTTATCATGCTCGCACCAAACATATAGAATTTGATGTTCATTTTGTAAGGGACAAAGTATTAAGAGGAAAGTTGGAAAGACATTATGTTCCGTCATCAGATTATACAGCAGATCTATTGACAAACCACTTGCTCATTCAAGGTTCTTGTTCCTTGGAGACAAGCTTGGAGTGATAGAAACTCACTCCACCTCTACCAATGTGAATGTGCAGCAAACCAACTGAATTAACAACTTATCACTGCCACTATGCTTGCTGGTATCTCCTGATTTTCAGGAGTGGAATGAAGAAATCAGTTAGCCACAAGGCACTTAATTCTATAGAATATTCTTTGTATAGATATGCTTGTATTGGTTGAATGTGTATATAAGCTAACAGAAGGAAAGAACCAAAACTGTGAAAATTCATTCAATCAATATAGCTGTTGCTTCAAATTAAAACATATCTCAAGTTTCAATTATTAAGAATAGATGAACAAATGAGTTATAAGACTTCTTAATTATACTGATTCATCTAGATTTAGCTCAGCCGCCAGGTATAGCGATCGTCCCTTGATCTGGTGACGCAGAAGTTAATTAGTATCACCTTTGCCTGCTGGTGGAAGTCAGCCCGCCAGTTGTGGTACCGGTGGCTTTAGGTTATCCCGGCAGATTGGGCATGTCCTGTGCCCATATCGTACCCACCTATCTAAGCAAGCTCTGTGATAAAGATGGTTGCATCCCAGCTCTTTAACTTCATCCCCTTCATCAATTCTGCATAAGCAAACAGCACACTCTGCTGATGAATCTCCACAAATTGTATTGTTATTATTTTCATAACGCGTTACAGTAAGGTCATCCACATAGTCTGGTAATTCGACTATTTCGCGAGGCTGAAAGGAGGACTGGAGAAGAAGGTAATCCCATGCCCAATTCAGTTGGCTTGCAATCAAAATTATGTATTTCAGTAAAACTGAATTTGGCAGCAGCCTCATCTGAAACATTGTTATATATAGAGAATATAGTTTCTTGGAATATAATGCTATGTTGCTGCAGAAAAGTTTTAGAAGGGAAATAAAAGGCAAGATGAATTGTTGGGCATTGTTTGGGGGGGGGCGGGGGTATATATATATACAGAGATGAATTTCTTCTGTCAAACCTTAAATATATTTTATGTTTACATAATTTGTCCCGATTCAGAGTATGTAGCAGTCATTCTTTATTAGATTAGATGACTGGTTATAACTCGTGTAAAAGACTAAATAAGGCAAGATGGTCAATATTTATTTCTCGGCGCAATATTTTATTTTTAGTTCATAATTAAAATACAATATTCGTGGAATGTTCATTAATAGGAGATAAAAATAAAATATATATTTTGGAGGAGAATCTCCGGCAAACGTTTACTTACGACAACGACAACGACATTATCATTAATGTATAATATTTCGAAGGCTTGCAAAGCTAGTATATTTTTAAAACTTTATAAATTTTTCATCGAAAAATTCCAAAATTTTATTAAAATGCTAAATAATCGTGGGCTGTGATTACGAATGGCTACAATAATTGTGGACTCAACAACAAAGTGACATTTAAGTGTGTGCCTTAGCCATTTCACTATGAAAAAGATCAATAAATGAGACTAAAACTTAAGAAAGGGAACCGACAAAATATTAGGATTAATGCTGCTCCAAGCTCANTTTAGACATACAATTTCAGCGGGCCTATCACAATGCACAAAAGAAGCAGCAGATTTTTTATTAAGATTTTGCTAACAAAATGACATAAATCGAGAAACACTTGATTGTTATGATCGATAATAATAAACCCTATCGAATAGCTGGTATTAGTCAGGTCAAAATAAAGATGCTTGATGAGACAGTTAGAACACTTGATATAGCAAAACGCATTCCAGATTTGAAGAGAATATTTATCTCCGTAAGTACTCTTGATTCAAAAGGGTACAAGTATACTGTTGAAGATGGAGTCCTGAAGGTTAGTAAAGGAGCCCATGTTTTGTCGAATGGGCATAGAAACTCATTTATATATCTTACAATGTTATACAAAATCGCATATTTTAAGAACTCGAATGGATTTGGAGTTGGATTTTGTACCGTTGGAGTCCTTCTTTAAGGAATACATCTCAGTTTAATTTAGAAGGTATTGGTAAATCCACTTTGTTACCATCACTAGTTGTGTCATTGTATTCAATTGCGAGTAATAGATCCATTTTTTGCCATAAGCTTTCACATAGGTACAATTAAGCTGATTTAGTTAATGGTTTGAATGTGCTTGAGTGTGTTGATTCTAGCCAAAATCCTTCTTTTAATACATTCAATTTTGTTGATTCTGTTTTAGGGCTTATTTCTGCCCTATTTGGTGATGCGCAAGCCCAGTGCTTGTAGTTTTGTTAATACTTAGTTGTTGAGTTTTTGCCCCTAGTTGGGGGGTGGTAGATGTAGAGAATATTTTTAATAGGAATTCTGATGGAGAATTTCATTTATTTTTTTGTTGAAGAGTTGAAGTTTATTCCTTACATTTGAATTTGTCTTCAGGTGCAGAATCTCTTAAGTTTGTTCATTGTAGTAGAATTCGTGTCAAGATGAAAATTGTTAAAATTTGGGTGTGATCCGAATTCTTTGTTGAAAATAATTGAGAGTTCTAATTAAAGTGTACATTAAAAGAATTCCATTTGAAATGCTATTGTTGAATCATATTCAAGTTTATTTGGCGAATTCTAATTGAAGTTCTATTTTGAAACTCATTGAGAGCAAGAATTTGTGTTTGACTTTAAGAAGACATTATGATGAAAAAAATCAAGATTTTTAGAGTAAAGAACTCAAAAGTGGGTTCCGCGGCGCCTCTTGATCGGTTTTTCCCCATAAAAAGTTACAAATATTGTAAACACATAATCTTTATATTCTTTTTTCATATTACAATAAAATCTTCATTCTCTGCAAAATTACATTGTTCTTGTTTTCTTGTGATATTTACTTCATATTATGACTATAGTCTCTTATCTTTTCACAACAATTTGGTATCAGAGTATTCCAGTCCATAACAATTGGTATCAGAGCTTTGGGTGTTGAAATTTTTGGGAAGATTGAGGTTTTTCATGACGGCAACAATGAATTATGATATTCCGTTATTAGATTACAATGCAAGATTCTCTTTTAACGGGTAAAGATGCGAGCAGTACTCGTTCAGATGGATTTGGACAACCCGTTGTTGGGATTTGACAAGATGCCCACAACTTGAACTATAGAGGAGAAATAACGAAGGGATGGAAATGCCCTATTTCAAATACATTTTTCATCTTTCAAATAATATTCTTCAAGATGTTTTGAAAGAAAAGTCAATCCCTGCATTATGATTAAAATTGAAGCAATTATGCATGACGAAGAGTCTTAGTAGAAAATTGCATCCGAAGTAACTTCTATATTCTTTTCGTATGATTGAAGTACATCTCTTGAGAATCACCTAACTATTTTTAAAGAAATTGTCGCTGATTTGGAGACCTTGGAGATCAAACATGACAAAGAAGACTTGTGATTGATTTTGTTAAGTTCATTATCCACTTCATACATGTCTTTTATAGACAGAATAGTATATGATCGTAATACTATCACCATTGAAGAAGTCGATGATGATATATATTCAAAGGAGAAGATGAAATATAGGTACAATTTTGCTGATTTTGTTGACCGTTTGAATAAGGTTAAGAGTGTCAATTCTAGCCAAAATCCTTATATTGATGCATTCAGTTATGATTCTATTACAGAACTTATTTTAACATTGTTTAGTGGTCATTAAATCACTTTTGTCCCTAATTGGGGTATCAGAGGTTTATAATATTTTCAGTTGAAATTGTTGATGGAGAAGTTCGTTTGTGTTTTTTTCATTGAAGAGTTTAAATTTGTTCTTTGCATTGGAATTTGTCTTTAGGTTGAGAATTCTTTTAAAGTTTTGTTCATTGTAGTGAAATTCGTGTTAATGTGGAAATTGCTAGAATTTCGGTGTGACACGAATTCTTCGTTAAAGATAATTTGGAGTTTTAATTAAAGTGCATACTAAGAAGAATTCTATTTTGAATGATATTGTTGAATCAAAGTTTACTTAGCGAATTCTAATTGAAATTCTACTTGAAAGTCTATTGGGAGTAGGAAATTGTGTTTGACTTGAAGAGGATATTGAGATAAAGAGTAAAGGACCCGAAAATGGGCACTGGGGTGCTCCATGTGGCGCCGCGATGCAGTATACCAGTTTCGCCCCTGTGCGCTTTTCTGTTCTTTTTCGTTTTGGACTTCATTTTTGGCATTTTACTTCAACTACAACTCTACTGTGATGGTTTGAATTTCTCATATTTGTTCTCTATATATATTTGATTGTTCTCTATATATATTTGTCTTTTCTTTACAATTTAGTTTAGTTGGTTTTTCTCCATAAGAAGTTAGAAACATTGTAAACACGTAATCTTTATATTATAATAAAATCTTAATTCTCTACTAAATTATATTATTTTTGTTTTATTGTGATATTTACTTCATATTGTAACTATAATCTTTTATCTTTTCTCAACAAACTGATATTTGAGCATTCCAATCCAAAGCAAATTGCTTATTACTCTTATTTGAATCGAGAAAAACCCACAATTTTGTTAAAGTTAATCCAAGGACACCAACAAAAAAGAAGGCTATGCGGCTAGCTAGTGACCAAATGTTTTAAAACCAAAGAAGGCTATGCATAATTAAATAAAAGAAAATAGCATAACTAAAATCACATAAAGACCTTGATAAATAAAAATAGCGTAATTAAATAAAGACCTTAATCCATTATGCTCTTTGTCTATCAGAAAAGAACACGGAATAATTTATTATGCAAGACTTAAATTACGCAAGACCAACAGACACATTTCCACTATTATTCCAAAAGAATTTGAAATAAAAAGTTAAGGAATTTATCTAAACAGAAAGAGAAAATGGAAAAAACGGCTCATTTAAAGCTTTTTCAAAACAGTCTCACTTTTTATCCACAAAGACACGTACAATTTGACAGACTGACTTCATTCTCAGGCCTCGATGAAAATTACAAAGAAAAAGTAAAAACCGAAGAAAAATAAAATAAATGTGTATAGTTCATTTTTACAGTGAGTAAACATGCATATGTGCATGTCAACTTCACTTGTGATTATAATACTATGAGACGGGAATGAATGTTCCTCTTTTTTCTCTTAATCCCGGGATCCATAGTCAGGGAGAAAATCATATGTTTGGTTGAATGCGCTACTGATAAATTTCTATCTCTACATCAGCAAGTTTTATGTTCAATAATGCAATGACGTCTTTTTATATTAGAATTCGACTTATTAGTGTTTTTTTTTTTGAACATAGTACCATTCCATTAGCAAGTTTTACGTTCAATAACATAATGATGTTTTGTTATATTAGAAATCGACTGTTGTTTTTTTTAAACTTAATACGGTACCTTTGCATTTTTGTTGTGGCAAGAAAAAAAAAAAGCATTTTTTTCTATCATGTGACTACTTTAAACAAATATATTAGGAACTATTACAATATTCAATATACACAATTAAAAAAAAAAAAGCACATTAGATTTGAACATTGAAAATTGTAAAATAAGAAATTGAAATTTTTTTCATTTATTTTCAAAAGGCTAACACGTTTTTCTCTTAATCATAGCAATATAGTCATTATCCTCGTCCTTAATTTTATGAACAGTAAGATATAATTAATTATATATCTTTTATCAAATTTTTAATTATTATTTTAAAAAAAAAGTTGACATAAAGCCAACAACTCTATTTTAATTGGATAATTTAAGAAACAATTGGCGGCAGATTGAGTAAACAATTTTCTTCCAACATTAAAAGAACAGAGAATATTTTATTGGAAAGCGATTATTCAATTATTATTAATACTGTTTATTGTTATTTCAAGTTCTTGGAAAATAAAAATGGGTAAGCACTAAATCACAT